TTTTTTTTTTTGCAAGTGATTTTGTGAACTGCAGACCTCATTAGTGTCTTCAGGCATCCATCCATCCAACAAATGGATGTTGACGGGGCCCCCAGTAAGTGCCAGGCAGCAATACATGCTGGAGATACAATGACCACTAAGGGATAGACCCTGCCCTCAAGGAGCTCACAGTCTGGTGGAATATAGATTGTGATGAGTACATAACCAGTTATGTTACAGGAAGCTCAAAACAGAAATGTGAGCAATGTGCTAGAGAAATATAGACCAGAGGACAACCGGGTCTGTTTAGAGTGCTCTGTAAAGGTGGTCTTGAGGCACTGGGCTTTGAGCTGGGCCACAGACGTACAGCATGCTGTGAAGGGCTTATCAGATGGGGAAGACAGCACATGCAAACGTGCAGAGAGCTCATCAGCAAGACCTGGAGTTGGTGGTCAGGTGTGGCAGGAGTTATGAGGAAGCAGGCAATGAATTTCATCCACTGAACAGGTAGTGAACATCTAGCATATGTCAGGCTTTTAGCTAAGGGCTTGCTGATGACATAGGAAGGACATTTGAGATTAGAGTCCAGAGGGCCTTGAATGCTATTCTGTTTCCTTTCCAAGAAAACAAAATTGAGATTAAAATGTGGGCTTAGCACTTCTTTCATAGGAGAGACACATGTCTTCATGCATGGGCCATCTCAAGGATCTTCAGTTCCTGCTGCATCTCCACATTAAAGGAGGAAGTAGGACTGGGTATGTGTGTGCCAGACATAGGTGTCCAAAATCCCTGCTTCCTGGGTTCATAATTCCACTTATGTTTCAGTGATATTGGAGAATGAGACACTTGGCGAATTCTTTTTTTTTTTTTTTTTGAGACGGAGTCTCTCTCTGTCGCCCAGGCTGGAATGCAGTGGCGCAATCTCAGCTCACTGCAACCTCCGCCTCCTGGGTTCAAGTAATTCTCCTACCTCAACCTCCTGAGTAGCTGGGGTTACAGGCGCATGCCATCACACCCAGCTAATTTTTGTATTTTTAGTAGAGACGGGGTTTCACCATGGTCAGGTTGGTCTTGAACTCCTGACCTCATGATCCACCTGCCTCAGCCTCCCAAAGTGCTGGGATTACAGACGTGAGCCACGGTGCCCAGCAGGGAATTCTTTTAGAAATTGCAGAGGCAGGGCTGTGCTCAGAAAGTCCTAGCTGGGCTTTGCTGGGGAGGCCCAGAGCCATGATCATGGAAACTAACTTCTGAGCTCTGCTTCTCTGGAGGGACTCATGGGAAGGGGAATCACTGGTCTCTGAAGTGTCTTTCATGCACTAAGCTGAATGACCTTGGCCTGAATCGCTCAGGGTTATGTAAGATTAGGTAGCCACTTAGTCAAAAATAGCTTTCATGCTGACTCCAGCCCACAGAATAGCATCCAAGTCAAGGGGGCACTGATGCGCCAGAGCTGGGCATGCATGGGGAAATTCCCCTCCTGGTCCTTGCCATTGGAAAATCACTTGAGGGTGTTAGCCGGGACTTGGAGCTGCTGCCAGGTAACCTCCTGTGCTTCTCTGTTGGGCAGTGTATATGTGGCTTTTTTGCTGAAGCACAGAAACCAAGGGACGGTAAACACAGAAATGCAGTGCAAACGTTAGGACAAAAGTAAGAAAGAAGGTGTAGTAGGCAGAAAGAGCACTGAACTAGGAGTCTTCAGATCTGCTACCACCATTGACTCTCTGGAGCCAGTCACTTTCATTCAACAAATACTTACTGAGCCTACTATGTGCCAGAGACTGTCCGAGCACTGGAGACCCAAGAGGGAAGGATAGATGCTATTTCTACCCTCATGGAATTTTAGCTTTTGGTAAGCCATCTTGTCCCCCAGCTTAAAGATAACTTACATCTTCTGAGAACTTTCTTATGCCAGACACTTTACAAGACACTGGGCATACACAGTGAACAAGCCAGATATAGTCTCTGGCCACATGCAGCTTGCAGTCCAGAGAGAAAAAGAGACACACACACACACAAATCCAGACAAATTATCATTGCAGCAAAAATTCCAATAAAGGGCTCTTTTAGGTCTAAGAGGAAGACATCTCTATTGATTGGGACTGCCATTGTCTTATTCAAAGTTTCTGCCCAGTGAAGGAGCATGTTGGGGCTCCTGTTTTCCCCTTTCAGAAGAGACATTGGGTAAAAGCAAATTGAATCCTGTGTGAAGAAGAGAAACCCCATCCACTGCTATTCAGAGTGGGTGTTGGTCTGATATTTTTGGAGGAAAATTTGGCAACATTCATCAAAGCTTGACAAATATTCCTCTCCTTTGACCTAATACGTTCATTTCTGGGAGTCTATCCAAAGGAAATAATTGGATAAGTGTACAAAGATGTACATTGTGAAGAAACTCACTGAATCCTTATTTAAGACAGTTAAAAATTTGAAATAACCAAGATAGCCAATAATAAAGGATCGTTGAAGCAAACTGTAGCACAGCCGGACTGGTAGCACATGTCTATAATCCCAGCTATGGCGGGAAGATCCGCTGAGCCCAGGTTTAGAGTTAGGCCTGGGCAACATAGTAAGATCTTGTCTCAAATTAAAAAAAAAAAAAGCAGTATATCTATAAAGGGCCATAAAATAAATTTTGCCCTTTATACCATTAACATGGGAAGATGTTCATGATATGATAAATTTTAAAAAATTGGTTCAAAAATTGTGTGGGATAGTACCAAAAAGAGCAGAATACATAAGAATAAATTTACCCAAGAAGGTGCAAGACTTGTTTACGGAAACTTAAAAACGTTGCTAAAAGAGATGAAAGAAGACCTAAATATACAGATTTTCTTTTCTTTCTTTCTTTCTTTTTTCTTTTTTTTAACTGTGAATACATATTTTATTTAGTCATTCTGTTTACAATCGAAAATCTGGGAATTCAAACTTAACATCCTTGCCGGTGAGCTTCTTCTAGACACCAGAAAAAGTTTCAACCTTGTGTTCCACATTGTTCTGCTGTGCTTTGTCCAAATGAACCTTTATGAGCCGGCTGCCAGCCAGTTACACGCGGATTCTCTTGCCCACAGCTTCGCTTGGGAAGACCAGGTCCTCAAGGACTGCATCGTGCAGAGCTGTCAGTGTTCGGCTCCCGGCAACCTTCTGCTTATTTTTTGTACAGCCTTTTCGAGCTGACTTAGGCAGAATTCTCCACTGAGTGATAAAGACAACATGCTTCCCACTGAACTTTTTCTCCAATTCACGTACTAGCCGGACTTGGATTTTCCGGCAAGATTTCAGGTGAGGAACAGGAACAAAGGTTATGATAGCTTTCCGACCGCTACCGGCTTCAGTTTCCTCGGCAGCCGTAATATTCAG